ATTGGTTCTATTACCTTCTTAGTCAAAATCAGATTTACATAACTCTGGTATTGCCTTGGGTTTGAAGCTGATAACATTTGGATGTATGTATACCTTACTGGTATGTAAACTACTGTGGTGGTAGATCTTGAGTAGACTGGGCTTAATGTGGCCTAGAGCCATTAGGGTACAGAAGGTCAGTCACCTCTTGTGATGGATGGCCTTCTTAACTAGTACTTTCTTCTATTTTTTTTTTTGTTTAACTTATTCAAGGCCTTTAAAATCTTACTCAACTCCCCTTCAAGCTTTTTTTGAGCTTTTTCTATCCTTTCGAGACGATTAGAATTTTTTTATTCCATTTATCTAGCTCGAGCTCTTGTGTTATATTGGTGAGTTATGTTCTTACTTGGTGGAGCTATCCTTGAACCTTGAGCACCACAATTATGTTATTAGAAATGTTATGCTTTATGCATAATATGTTGATGCTTGAATAGAATATACATTTTCATGGATGAAATCTAATATGAAAATGATACAGACGCATAATGTTACATATAACAATGAAAATGATGCATGACATGATAATACAGATGCATAAAGTCAATAAACAAAATGGTTAGATCACAAATCGTTTCTTCTTATGTCCTAACTTTGGGTTGCATCTATCATTAGATAGAAGGGCTCTATCTTAAAGCTAGCCTCTTAAGTATGAACTATATGAAAGATTAGGTGATTTTGATCGCTCAAGGTTCTCAAATTATTCATTACATTATCGTCCATCACAGACTAATAAGGTAGTCCAATCCTCACCCATCACAGGCTACCAACAAAAAAGATTTAATTTAAGTGGGAGTATTTCGCTAGCCATTACGAAGATTATCATCTCATAAAAGCGTAGGTACTTTACTCCCTCCTAAGAGAGACGGAGCCCAGGTATAGAGTTCATGTAATGTAAATACATGTGATAGTGTGTGTGAAGAAACTTATAGGTTTTATGCCCCAAAAATCAAATAAGAAAAAAAAACGTTAGTAAACAAATAATTACAATTTAAAACTATTAGATTAAAGGATATGATAAAATCAAAATGTTATGGCCTGACTCTTTATAGCTCTCCAGTGGAGTCGTTAAACTATCATAATATATAGATCCATAAATTTATAGCTAAACGTAACAAATAGAGTCACCACCAATCTTTTTTATCTAGGTATAATTGGCTACTTAAGGAATCTATCTTCTTAAGAAGCTCTTAAGCTTTACTAAAGGTCCTTAAAAGAATAAGTTCAGGTCTACAAATTAAAACAGGGTTCAAAAGTTTAGTTACATATGAAAAAGGTTATAGCACCCCCACATGCCCATCCAAAGGATGGTGCCATTTTATGTTAAATTTATCCTAAGATTTTGATTCTAATGGTTTTAAGTTTTTATGTTTAATATTGAAAATAACTTTTAAAACTCTCTATCAATCTAGTAGAACTCTTAAAAATATTCTCTCCCCTCAAGAGTATTCAAGGATTCCATTTGTTTCTTGGAAGAGGCTCCGTCGTCGAAAAAATATTTATTTTTATTCTTTTTGTTGAAAATATATCTAATTATTTCACCATTTGTATCAAATTAGAAATATTTTCTCTTTTTAAATTTCTAAATTTTTCACCATTTAGGCCTATTTAGAAATTCTCTCCTTTTTTTGTTTTTTTTTTTTTGAAAAAAAATAATATGACAATTATTTTTTATTGAAATTTCATTTAAATTCTTCCATCATTTGGGACGAATTTAAAGAAATTTCTCACCTAGAGATTTCTTAAGAATTTACCATTTGAAATTTCTAAGAATCTCATTATTGGATAATTTATCAAATATTTTCAACCAAATTTGAAAAAGAATACAATTACTTTTATTAAAATTTTATCTAAATTATTCCATCATTTGGAACAAATTTCGAAAAATTTTTCACTTACAGATTTCTTAGAAATTTATCGTTTGAAATTTTTAAAAATCTCATTATTGGGTAATTTATATTTAATTCTAAAATTTTTATCAATATATATTTTATTTTTTTATTTTTTATTTTTTTGTTTCAAAATAAATATTAATTATCATTATTAAAACTTTATCTAAATTATTCCATCATTTGAGATAAATTTAGACAAAATTTCTCACCCATCTCATCTAAGAATTTTATAGAAATTTATTATTTAAAATTTCTGTAAATTATATCATTGGATAATTAATATTTATTCTCAAATTTTATTTTACATTTTTCCTAAACTTAATTATGCAATAATACCTCATAAAAGTAAACAAACACATAAATTAAAAATTTAAAAATACCAAAAAAAAAAAAAAACGGCTTGGGGGACATGGCTTAACGGCTCGACTCAGCTAAAAGGATCGAATAGTAGACAGGTCAAACGCAGGTCAAAAGCAGGTCATGCTACGGGTCGGGTCACCTGAATAAAAATGTGTAGATCCCGGTGGGTATCTTAATGCCAAAACGATGTTGTTTTACAACAGTATAAAAGGCCAAGTTTCAACCTTTTTCCCTCAGATTTTCGCTCCCCTTCTCTATCTTCCCCCTTCTTTTCTCTCCCTCTTTCTAAAAATCGAAGAACTCCGGTTAAATCTTCACTGGATTCTAGAAAAGTCATAGAAATCTGGATAGGTTCACCGGACGTTCGTCGAAAATTTCAAGTTAGCCGGAATCTTCAATCGAATTCTGGGATGCTTGCTGAAAAATTCAACCGACATAAAAAAACTCACCAAAAAATTCAACCGGTGTTGAAAAATTTCATTGAAATCTGAAAATTTTTAAAAATTTTTAAAAAAATTTCAAAAAAAAATTTTTTATCCAAAAAAACTCTGAAAATCCTTTTTGCTTTACGCTTGCTCTGTGTGATCTGTGTTGCTATGTGTTTTTCTATGTAATTTGTGTTTGTATTTATAGGGTTTCAATCTAAAGAACCCTAATCCGAATAGGAATCCTAATTCCTTTTAAACTTCTAACGTAAACCTATCCTAAATCAAATCAGACAATTTCACACAAATTAAATCACCTATTTTTTCGACTTTTTCTCATTTTTTCATTGTTTTTATTTTTAATTAACACAATCTCAATCTAGTAGACCCACAAACAAATTAGGGTGTCTACATGCCCAATTAAAAAAGATATTTTTTATCTAAAAGTTTTTAAAATATTTTTATGAAAATTGATGAGAAGATCAAAATTTGTGTTTATTTGGATATGTTTATTCTTAAATATAAAATACCAAAATATTAAAATATAATAATACATACACTAAAAAAGTGAAAAAATATTTTCTATTTGACAAACCAAGCTTCCAACTTTAAATCCAAATAAAAAAAAATAAAACTTAAGTAAAAAAATGAAAAAAAAATATTTTCTCTAACTGCTTCTGGAATTAAGCTTTCAATACATACCATGTTATACCAATTTTGTTGGCCGAAAAACTTTGCAACATAAATTCTAAATATGATCAACCTGATAACCAATATTGACATATATATATATATATATATATTGAACCATAGATTTTGCAAACATAATATTGGAATGCCTCATAATTGAAGTGTAATGACACATTGAAATGCCACAGCTTAATCACAGTGCTGAGCACTAGTACTGCAATGAGATCATATAGTAGAAATTTTTCAAGTGTCCCATGCAAATTCGAAGAGCCAAAACTACTTAGTATATGATTTCTTCTCCTTCACTTTCAGCTTTAATGAAATTGTAATACATCATAAGATAAAGTGAAGTGCAAATTTTGCTGCCAAGTTTCTGCAAAACAACTGGACCATGCAACTTTACCACTCTCCTCTACTAAAAATGGTTTGGTTTGCAACATTATAAACATAAAGCAGACCCACTAATTAGGCGTCCTTTCAAATGTTTCAAAGGTAGCTAGGGTTTTATTTTCTTTTCTTTTTTTTTTTACATTTTTCTTCTTGTTAGGTTATTTACAGAATTCATTAGAGGATTGAGGTGTATAAGCTTTTATAAAGGTGATATTACATCAAATATTAGTGTTAAATTTTGTTGAAAAATACATGTCGAAAGGCTGTCAGAATAATTGAAGAATACACCCAACTTCAAAAATAAATCTAATCATTTAGGCAGCAATTTATACTACTAGGCCCATTTCGAGTTATCTGTCAAGTTTTTAAAATAAGAAACTTAGCCCAATTAAAAATCAGAAAATGAAACACAATTCTCAAGCTCTCCCAAAAATCCAGCCCAAATATTCTGGCCCAATTACCTTTTTGTAATAAGGATGATTATTTATTACTCAACACAATAAAAAAAATAATTAGCTAGATATTCAACACTAAATATTTTTACATAACCAAATTCGTTTCAGGTATTAGCAAAATATATTTATGATTAACCTGCTAAAAGGCTATAGGGAAGTAATTTTTTATGAATTCTTTAGGTCTCACGTAAATAAACCTATTTCAATTAATTAAAAGAGAATATGTACCAAATAAAACTTAAAAAAATTTTTACTGCTTAATTAAAAATATATATATTTATGGGTGTGAGTTATTTTTCTTTTGCTAAACAAAGAACATAAAATTGATACAAATACTCTGAGGAGATCCATGATAAACAAAACAAAGTCCTTGGTAACATCCCTTCCCCGGTCATAATCTTAAGACAATTAGCAGAGTCCAAAAGTGGAGTCAATTGTTCTTAGCGTCCAACATTATTAAAATCATAAATTAAACCGTGTTTTCCACAAGGATGGCATGCAGGCGTGAGACGGCTGATAATCTGGCTTTGTCAACATTGATCTTCCAATTAGAAATGGTCTAGATCATTTCTTGGCAGCCGGTTATGAAAATCCAAATATTTATTCTATGATTAATAGTTAATTAAAAATTGAATTTGGAAGGTATTGTTGACCAATGCCAATGCCGTTGCCACCCCGTACTATAAATGGATGGGTCATTGGTATTCCTAAAATTTGTAGTTGAAGATCATCAATCTTTGAATTGAAGGAACATGAACATTTCCCATCGTCCTCAGTCACCTACATGGTCTGCTTCCCTCTGCGGCTGTGCAAGTGACGTTGGAACATGTAAGTTCTCCGTTTTTATTATCAATCTATACGTGCGTATATACGTTCACATAAATTACAATAATGAAATGAAACCAATGTTACTTCCAAGTTTCGGTTTTAATTTTTTGGTATTATCTAAACTTGCAATGCAGGCTGCATAACATGCTGCTTGCCATGCATTACCTTTGGTCAAATTGCGGAAATTGTTGAAGAAGGAAAGACATGTAAGTTTAATACAATCCACAAGTCAAAACCGTTTCTATACTTGAAAATGTTGTCTGAATATTCTCTTTGTAATCATGCCATTTTGTTGCTTTTGTAATCTTCTATCTATAACAGCTTGCGCCAAACAAGGTTGTATTTATTGCCTGCTGATGATGTGTTCATGTCACTGCCTGCTTTCCTGTGTTTATAGAGAGAAATTGAGAGCCAAATTCGGTTTGCCAGCTGAGCCTTGCAACGATTGCTGTGTTCACTTTTGCTGTGAGACATGTGCTCTTTGTCAAGAGCATGCTGAGCTCAAAAATAGAGGCTTTGATCCATCCAAAGGTTATTTCTGCATTAATCAGCTTCTTTTATCATTTTATATATTTTTATTAGGTTTATATTTGATAAAATCACAGTGTATATATTTTATATACTATCAATCACCTCAATAATTTATAGTGTATAACATTTATAAACTATATCAAATATAAACTCTTTTTTTATCTAATTAAAAGCTAATTTTTTGGTATTTATTTTAAAGGGTTTTTAAACTTTCAACTTTGCTTGTTAATAAGGAATCAATTTGTGATTAATTGATAGTGTAGAAGATTTATACACTAATAGTGTATTAAATATAAACCCTTTATTGTTATTATCTTTAAAAAATTTTTACTCTCTTAAGGATGATAAATCAACTTTAATACTATTTTTCAACAAGCACACTTTTCTATTGAATATAAAATCAAATTTAAACTTTATCTTTATTATCTTAATTTAATTAGTTGCAAGAATTGATAAAATTTTCATTTGTTATTACTACAGGTTGGAATGGACCTCCTACTGTTCCACCACAAATGCCACCTACAATGAGGAGATGATCGGCACCAATTATCAAATATCAAAGGAGATTACACCAATTTCTTAATAACATGGTTGCAAAATATTTATCTTTGATAAATAAAAGCTTTATCTTTAGATTAAGCCTAGATTAAGGTATAATAATTGGAATTTGGTTATACAACCATAATTCTAATTAATCAATACAAGCATTGTATTACTCTATTCACAATGTCCATATATAGTCCATATCATTTGATAAAAATATAATGTTCCTATTCAATGTATTTGACATAATGTCATCTTCCATTCAAACACGTACTTCACAAGCATATCTCTCTGTCCCTCACTCCTCCAGTTAAAAAAAAAAAAAATTAACTCTAAAATCCTATAAAATTAGTCTGTTATTTAAGAAATTCACATTATTTTTTAACTTGGATAATATTTTTTTATAAAAATAATTATTTGAATTCTCTCCACTACCTAGGTAAAGATTCAAAAATCATATTTTCACATGAAAATATTATTATATTTTTATTTCTAAAATCCTCTTTTAAAAAATCATTTTTAAACCACAATTGTGTACACTTCATTTTTTATTCATACATAAATGCATTTTATTTGTCATTACAATTATTAGTATTTTTGCAAGTCCTAAAGCAATATTTACAAGCATCAAAATGATTAAAGGCACAACAAAATAAATAAACAAAAGGAAAAAGAAATATACCTCAAATGAAGCTTTTGAATTGGAACCCAATATGAAAATATACCCCAAATGAAACTTTTGAATTAAAACCCAACGTGAACTAAGTAATGAACCAAATCTTATGGGATAATCTTTGTAGATCAACTACTAATTGATGAGCTAAAAACAATTTTGGATCGGGTCAGTAAGTCCGGTAGAGCAACAGCTAGCAAGTCAGGTCGGGTTTAGCTTTCTTTCCCCCACTTTTTTTTTCCTCTTTGTTTAGTCAATACCCCAAAACTCCATTCTTCTCGTACTTTATTCTTTTTTTTTTCTTTGTCAAGTTTTGAGAATTATCAGATGAAAAATTTTAAAAAGTTTCACAAACAAACAAAGAAGAGTTGTCATCACTTTTTTTAGAGGTGTGATTAATCATCTAAAAAAATTATGTTTTAATAAAATAATAAAACAAGTTTAATATTTATCAAAAATATAATTTTTTTCTATAAAAATAAAGTTTGGTTCAGGAGTCGATTACACATAAAAAAAAATTAACACTCTCACAAACATTTATTAAAATTGGTACCAATTGATCATACATTTTCCTTATTATCGATAAAATGTTTTTAATTCTAATATTTAAAAATAATTCTTTCAAATTTTCTTTTTTTTGTAAAAATCTTTTTTAAAATTTTTTATTTACAAATAAGATGAAAATCTTTAGTATCAAAATATTTTTTAATTCTTTAATATTTAGGTAGAATTTTGAAAAATATTTCTTTACTTGAGACTTTCATACTAATTCTTTCCAAAAACTTTGCAAAATATTTTTTTTATAAAAAATAATTATTGAAAAATTCTGTAATAACTAAGAAAAGACTCAAGAATTATTTTTACTTGAGAATTTTTTTATTATTTAACACAATTTTTCAAAAATCATCATTTATTAATTAATTTTTTTGTAAGCAATGAAATGCAAGCACATGTCATATGGAGCATATATATGATGCGAATCTAAATTAAATGCAATCAATCTATCAAATTCATCTAATACATAATTACATTAAATTTATTTTTTTTAGGAAAAAAATGAGGATTCTTAGTTTTAAAATATTTTTTAATTCTCTAATATTTAAGCGGAATCTTGAAAAGTTTTTCTTCACTTAGAATTCACATGATATTCCTTAAAATTTGCATAATATGCCTTTACCAAAGATAATTATTGAAAAGTCTTCTAATATTTAGATAGGACCTCAACGATTATTTTCACATAGACATATTAACCATTATTTATTAAAAAATAATTTTCAAAATTATCAATTACTAATTTATATTTTTGTTTCAAAAGTAAATGATACAAATACAAATAATTAATCAACTTGATCTATCTTATATGCATTTAGCCTTATTTTTCATCATTATCTCTTTTTTTTTTTTTACGAAAATCAAAGGTGAAATAAATTTATTTTTTTATTTATTTTGGTGAAGGAAAATTTCATTTAATTTTTAAATATCTAAGCAAAATTTAAAAAATTAATCCTTCAAAATATGATTTGGATTCCTTCAAATATCTAAATAGAGTTTCCAAAATCATCATTTTTTTAAACATTATTTTTATTTTTATTTCTAAAACTTCCATATTCAAAATACATTTTGAAATTACAAAATTTGTTCAATTAATTTTTATTTAAGAATTTATACAAATTTTTTTTATCAATCTCAATTATCCAAAAATAAATTTATTTTCAAGGATATATAACATTAAATAAATGCTTACAATAACATAATAAAATAAAATAAGAAAATATACCCAAAAAAAGCCTCTTAAACTTAAATCCAAAATGATCCAAACAAGAGAAGAGCCCAACTTTAGTGAATTTTTGAACAGACATGGATTTGAGAAAGTGAGCTGTGTTCAGATGGGCAAACTGAGTCTAATGAAGCCAGGCAGGGTCGGATGGATGATTGGGTTGGCTCAAACCAGGAGGATCAGGTTGGAGTGGGTAGTGAGTCGGGTTGGCCTTTTTTAAAAAAAAAAAACAGTATAAATATCTACTTTTTTAAAACTTCATTTCATCTTTTTCTTTAAAAAAAATTCATCTTCTTTCAGAAAAACCAGAGCCACCCACAAACCTAGTTTTCAGCGAAAATAGCTCTGAGCTCCTTTCGACCCTCTCTTTCATGTTCTAGCCTCGGTTTCAACCAAATATCACTAGATTTTCCTAGATCTAAACTCAAAACCCGCAGCTTCTCACCCTTTTTCTGCCATCTTCCACTGTCCGATTCTATCGAAATTTAAGTATGTTGTTATCCTTTCCAAGCTCTATCATTCCACTATCACCGGTCAGCGAAAAGCTCACACCACCGCAAACGGCGGTTATGCAGTCGCACCTCTGCCGCCCCTCACCACCCAAACAATGACCCCTTCTCTTCCCTTTTACATCTCCAAACTGAAACCTTCTTAGAAACTCCCCAATAGCTCAAAGAATCTCAAAAATGATGAAATACCCCACCTATCTCTACTATTTTGCTTTCTTTCTTTTTATTTTTACTTTTTTTTTTGTTTGCTTGATGTGGCCCTGCTCCTGCCCGTTGGGATGTGGATTTTGCTTTTCTTTGTTGTTTGTTTGGGTTTTGTGCGCATATATTTCATGTTTGGTGGGATGATTTTTTGTGTTTATTTTTGTTTGAAGGCAAGGGCGATTTTGGTCAAGGTGACAGGTAAGTGAGAGGTTTATACAGGGGCTGTGGTACACTGGGGCGACAAAGGGGCAGACTTCGTTCTTTGGGTTTATGGGTTGGTAGTTGGGGTGCTCGATTTGAAGGCTCGATTATGTTGGAATGGCTGCTGGTTGTGGCTTTTACTCGTGAGCTTTTGCTTGTAGTTTCTCGTTGTTTGTCGATGGGATAGGCTACTACCAGTGGGGATTGTTTTTGGATGAGGGTGATTTCGAGTAGTGGTTTAGACTCGGTTCAATAAAGGTATAGAGAGATTGGGTTGTGAAGGGGCTCCTCGTGGTTTGTAGACTTGGGCAATAGTGAGGGAAATGGCATTGGTTTTGGTGGATCCAAAAGCCCCCTTTTGTTGGTGAGTTCTAGGATTTTTATTTGTCGAGGTTTTTGGGTTTGAAAATGTAACCGAGGTTTTTGGATTATTCTGGCAATGGAAGCAGAGATGATGTTTTTGGGTTTTTGGAATTGCTAGCTAGTCTTAGATCACCGAGCTTTTGATCAAATTGTTCTAGAGGTGATTAGAGTAAATTTTAGGAGTTAAAAAGTGAGAGCTAAAATTGGGATAATAGTTTAAAGGAAAGGTTCAGGCATTTGGGGAGGGAAGGCTGCCAATGCAACCAATCCTCTCCATTTTTTTTTGTAAATTTTCCTTTTTTTTAGTTAATTTAATTAATTCTAATAAAAAGAAATTAGGTTTTAAAATATAATTTGGGATTTGAATTTGATTTTGAACTTCTATTGAGCTTTCAAACTTAAGTGGCTCAATTTTTAATTAGCCCAAAATTGACTAAAGTAGACTTTGGTCATTCAAAATATCCAAAAATATTAATTTGAAACAAAACCGAAAGGAGCCCAATTAAATAAGTTCAACTAAAATGTTTAAGTTAGTTTAAATCGAAATGTTAAGATTAAGCTTAAAAATCAAACAAACTTGAATTAATCTAGATAAAATTAGGTATATGCATATATTACATCAAATATAAGTATTAAATTTTGTTGAAAAATACATGTGGAAAGACTGTCAGAATAATTGATGAATATACTCAACTTGAACAATTTATTACCCAAGTAGATTACTCCTTCAAAGACAATTGTACTAGGCCCATTTGGAGTTATCTATCAAGTTTTTAAAATAAGAAATTTTGCCCAATTTAAAATCAGAAATGAAGCCCAATTCTCAAGCTCTCCCAAATGTCCAGCCCAAATATTCTGGCCCAATACTTTTTTTAGCCCAATAACCTAACCATTCATCCCTTTTTTAATAAGGTTGATTATTATTTCTCAACACAATAAAAAGAATAATTAGCTAGAGATTCAACACTAAATATTTTTACATAATTTAGGAGACCAAATTCGTTTCAAGTGTTAGCAAATATGAGAAGATAATTTTTTATAAATTCCTTAAGTTTTATATAAATAAACCTAGTTTAATCGATTCAGAAATCAAGAAAATATAACGAGCAAAACCTAAAAACTACTAACTAACCAAAAAATATATAGTGATTGTCCTTTTGCTTAAAAACAAAGAACAGAAAATAGATACAAATACTCTGAGGAGATCCATGATAAACGAAACAAAGTCTTTGGTAACATCCCTTCCCTGGTCATAATCTAAGACAATTAGCATAGTCCAAAAGTGGAGTCAATTGTTCTTAGCTTCCAAGAATATTAAATATCATAAATTAAACAGTGTTTTTATATACATTGTCCTATATTATTAGCCGAAAATATAAATAATAGTAATAATTATAAGCCATGTTTGATGTATAGGATAGTATGATAATTATTTTATATTATATTTGGTTTATATATAATTAAAAAAGATAAAATTATAAAGAAAATTATTATTTTCTTGGTATAAAATGATTCAATTTTTTTAAAGTAGAAATGATTATTTTTAATCCATAAAATTAAATTTATATGTCATGTTATACCTTTAAAAATTACATTAAATATAAGATAGAATAATATTATTTAATTTAATTTATTCATAATATCATCTTATCATATTTATCATAATATTATGTGTTAAACACGATCATATAATATTATTATATATTATCCTTCTCTACTAGGATGGCATGCACGCGTGAGACAGCTGATAATCTGGCTATAAACACTGATCTTTCAAATTAGAAATGGTCTTGAAGATCATTTCTTGGCAGCCGGTTATGAAAATCCAAATATTGATTCTATGATTAATAGTTAATTAAAATTTGAATTTGGAAGGTATTGTTGACCAATGCCAATGCCACTGCCAGCCGGTAATATAAATGGATGGGTCATTGGTATTCCTAAAATTTGTAGTTGAAGATCACCAATCTTTGAATTGAAGAAACATGAACATTTCCCATCGTCCTCAGATACCTAAATGGTCTGCTTCACTCTGCAGCTGTGCAAGTGACGTCGGAACTTGTAAGTTCTCCGTTTTCATTATCAAACTATACGTGCATATATACATACATATTAATTATAATAACAATTTTTTATTATTATCTAAACTTGCAATGCAGGCTGTATAACATGCTGCTTGCCATGCATTACCTTTGGTCAAATTGCGGAAATTGTTGAAGAAGGAAAGACATGTAAGATTAATACAATTCATAGGTCAAAACCATTTCTATACTTGAAAATGTTGTCTGAATATTCACTAATCATGCCATTTTGTTGTTTTTGTAATCTTCTATTTATAACAGCTTGCGCCAAACAAGGTTGTCTATATTGCCTGCTGATGATGTGTTCATGTCACTGCCTGCTCTCCTGTGTTTATAGAGAGAAATTAAGAGCCAAATTTGGTTTGCCAGCTGAGCCTTGCAACGATTGCTGTGTTCATTTTTGCTGTGAGGCATGTGCTCTTTGTCAAGAGCATGCTGAGCTCAAAAATAGAGGCTTTGATCCATCCAAAGGTTATTTCTGCAATAATCAGCTACTTTTATCACTCTATTTATTTTTCGTTGGATTTATATTTGATGCAATGATAGTATATACACTATCAATCACCTCATTAATTGATAATGTATAATATTTATATACAAAGTGTATCAAATATAAATTCTTCTAAATATAATTAAATGGTAATTATTGTTATTTATTTTTAAGGGCTTTTAAACTTTCAATTTTATTTATTAATAAAGTATCAATTTGTGATTACTTGATAGTATATAAGATATATATATTAACAATGTATCAAATATAAATTTTTTATTGTTATTAATTTTTAAAAACTTATTACTCTAAGGATGATAGATTAAATTTAATACTGTTTTTTAACATGCACTTTTCAATTGAATTAAAAAAATTTAGGAAGAAAAGAATTATATGAAAAAATAAATGAATATTCTACATAATATTTTAACTTTTTGACCATATTAAAATTTAATTGTACTCACTTTTAATTAAAAGAGCCTTGGTTCAATCTCTTGAAAGGCCAACCGGATCCAACTTGATACATAAATAAATAAATTGAATCAAATTAAAAAAGTACAATAATAAAATTGAACCATTCAAATTTCGATGATAAATTTAATACTTCATCAAAGAAATAAATTTAAAATTTTATCCATATTATCTTAATTTAATTAGTTGCAAGAACTGATGAAATTTTCATTTGTTTATTACTACAGGTTGGAATGGACCTCCTAATGTTCCACCACAAATGCCACCTACAATGAGGAGATGATCAGCACCAATTATCAAATATCAAAGGAGATTACACCAATTTCTTAATAATATGGTTGTAAAATATTTATCTTTGATAAATAAAAGGCTTTATCTTTAGATTAAGCCTAGATTAAGGTACTCAATTACATCATTATTCACTTATTTCTAATTAATAAATTGATTTTTCCATCAAATTTGTTAAATTTCTACAACAAATTAAGTCGTATTTATTTTTACACCGACACGATATATTAATATTATAAAATATTAATATTTTAATTTTAATAATAATATTTAAATTACGATAGTATTAAATACAAAATTAATTATTTTTTTGTTGAAAGGAAAAAACTTGCAGCTAATTTACGGACAATTATTTTATATAAATATATAAAAATTAAAATTTTTGATTAAAAAAATTATCCTACGTGAATAATTTATATAATTAACTTATAAATAATTTTAAAATTAAAGTCTGAATTAGAAACCTTTTTTAATCTTTAGACAACTATATTCCTCCATTCCTCCGTATTAAAAGAATATTAAGGGAATATCACTTTTATTATCACTTGAGTTTTTTTGAATTTTTAAAGTTAGGGGATTTGTGGAAAGTTTTTGTGCGCCAAACCTCTTGAATAATTGATTCATTTGTGGGATTGGTTGATGGTTGATAACATGGTTTTTTAGGTTAGATTTCAAGTTGAGTCTTTTTAATTTAAACTTTAAGGTTAGAAATTTGATGTGCTAAATAAAAAAATATTTTGAATTTAAAAGTGCCAAAATATTAAAAATATAATAAAACCTAAATTAAAAAAGAAAAAAATATTTTCTATTTGACACATCAAGCTTTTAACCTTAATTAAAGTCAAATAAACAAATATAATAAAACTTAAACTAAAAAAATGAAAAAATATAATAAAACCAAATAGAAAATATAAAAAAGCCTGAACTAAAAAGTGAAAGCATACTAAAGGCTAAATTAATAAAGTGAAAAATATGATTTTGTAATTATATAAATTAAACATAATGAAACAATAATTATTTAGAAAATATTTATTAAAATGATTTTTTCAAAAGTTAAAAGTTTTAATTTTTTCTAAATTTTCTTGAATAAAAATAATTATGAATTCTTGTGAAAATTATTGAGAAGATCCAAATTTTATTTTTATTTGGATGTGTTTATTATTAAATATAAAATATAAAAATATTATAAATATAATAAAACCTAAACTTTTTCAACATAACACAAAAAAAAAAAACCTAAAAAAAAATGTATCATTAGTATATTAATTTTTTTTAATTTTAATATATTTATAATATTTAACAGTGAATTAAAAATTTTATTATTATTTTTATATTAAAAACTTTTTATGAAGAATATTGACCCAACGAAGTGGGGCCGATTTCTAGCAAAGAGTTGAAGCTGGCTCCACAAAAAGCCGCCGGTCATCTTGAGAGACCGTGTTAGTCATGCTTATTTTTCTTCTTGCTTTTTCCGACACATACAGGAGTCTTTTTATGACAAAATGAACTTTTTACATATGGAGTCTCCCTCTTTTTGAATCGGAGAAACTCCGTAAATCAAACATATAACATAAAAGATAGATTTGATAATTCATGTCTTATGTATAAAATATTATTTTTATATTATATTTTTTATAAAAATTATTTATTATAATTTATATCAATATTAAAATATAAAATATAATTTTTTTATTTTATTAAATTTATTTATAATTTTTTAAAAAATTTAAATTATATTATTTTTATTTTATTTTATATCACTGTATAATATTATAAATTATCAAATTTGCTTAAAAATATCATGCTATCTTTTGTATTCACGACAGATAATATGATATTTTTTATAGTAACGTAATTAAATTAATTGATATGATCTTAAAATAAAAATTTATTTCGATAATAATAAAAAATTTTGAATTTATTTAAAGAAAAAGAAAAATTCATGGACTTATTTAATATTTTAATCTTATAAATAGAATTAATTACAAATTTTAGTAATATATACAGTAGCTTTTAAAGATGCCTTTTCTTAATTTATAAAAAAATGAAAGGTGCTTGTCTTGTACAATGAAGAAAAAACGTGTACCAAGACTTTGACCACGAGAACAGGTAGCATTCGAATGTTTAACTCAAATACTCAACAACCAAAAGCCAAGCAGCAATTGTAGAACAGATACCTACCAAACTCCATTAACAGAGAAGAAACTTAAGCTCTTGTCACCCTCAGAAACAAAGAAAAAGAAAGTAACAGAGTTTTTGAGGGTTGATCACTTTTCTCTACCATGTCTGATATTGCCCAAGAAGCATGGAGAAAATATCTTATTCAACTTCAAGCTCACCCTCTTAGAACCAAGGTAATACTAACATATTTTCTCTTCTTGATCAATACTCATGTTTTGAAAATGATTTTCTTGCTTTAATTTTTGTTCATTTTGTCTTTAGTTTTCTCTGCTTCATTGGCCTTGTTATGGGGTTGGTTCATGGTTGTTGAGTTTTCGTTGTTTGATTGTTTATTGATTTTTATGTGGGGAGGTTTGCAGGCAATTACAGCTGGGGTTTTAGCTGGATGCAGTGACTTGATAGCTCAAAAGATTTCTGGGGTCAGAAGGCTTCAGTTGAGAAGATTGCTTCTAATCATGGTGCGTTGACTGTTTTCGTGCTCCTTTTTTTTTTTTTCCTTTTTAATGTTTGTTTGGACCATACTCCCAAAGTTTCTGTTTGGATGCCAAGAAATTGGGAGGAAATGAACATTGAGTTAAATTTAAGGCACATTTGTTTGTCTGCATTTCGTCTTTTTTCTTAGCAGCCAAGTGAAGAATCATTTGATTTTTGTGAAATGTAAAATTGAATTTCCTTGCAGCTCTATGGCTTTGCATATTCAGGACCATTTGGACACTTCCTTCACAAACTGATGGATGCCATTTTCAGGGGAAAGAAAGGCAGTAAAACTGTAGCAAAGAAGGTAAAAATGTTCATATTGCTTTACTTAATTACCTAATTTTGTAACTTTTTACTATTTTAATTCTTGGAATTTCGAGTTTTTTCCTTTTTTTTTTTTTTTTTAACCTTTTCAACTTACTAGTTTTATGCTCTCTAGTGCCAGACTGCTATTAGCTTGTATGAAAATTTTAGTTGAGGATTAATGGTGGTATTTAATACTGCTCAATTGCTTGTTATAGGTGTTGTTGGAGCAATTGACTTCTTCTCCTTGGAACAACTTTTTCTTCATGATGTATTATGGATTGGTGGTTGAAGGTATGTGCATCTTCATAATATCTTATTCAAATCACAACTACAATCACCTGAGTCATATTACTGTTGATTCTGACTCTGGTAGTAGCAATTGTTGTTTCCAAAAAATGGGGCAAAGGTAAAACTTTTATGGCTGTTTGCTATGTGAGCTTTTCATTTTATGATCCTAGAACATTTCAAGCTGTGCTACTATTGGCGACGCTATTATAATTCCTGATCTTGTTGGTAATACTCTTCGAGTCGCTTTCTCTTTTATTATAGATCAATTTTGGATTACTTGCTTACATCATTGTTTGTTATCGTAAAACTGACCAAGAGAAGCATTGCTCTCTGTAACTCCCAGTAAAACTACCAAAACTAATTGAGAAATTATCACATCCAACTGACAGTAAACAATAGAGTTTTTAAACTCTATCGTCAGGATTAGTAGGGTGACACATACCTCTAAGGGTATAGTAAAAAGAAAAATTTTAATAATTAAAAACGAAGTGGGATATGTGGTAGCCTCTTAATTTCACTTGTGAAGTTAAAAAATTCCACCGTCAGTATATCAAAAATGAACTTAGACTAATTTGATATTATTTTCCTCCTAACCTGGATTGACAACTACTTCAAAACTAATTGATGAAGTTTCATGGTTTAAAAGTTCAGGGAACCACCAATTTTAATGGTAGGCTGTTGCTAAGATTGTGCCAAAATACTTGGATCCCAGTTCTTTGTACCTTAACCTAAATGCCCCTCTAATTTCCTCCCATTTCAGTATAGGTCCCCAACATAGGAACCCAAACAGAATAGATACCCTCTCATCAGAGTGGCTGTAATAGAATGCATAATGAATGCACCTGTACTTTTGTAAAGAGCATTTTATATGTGTTGCTGATCATAAGCAACATTTTGTGTATAAATTAATGCTCTTTTATGGCTTTTGCAGGAAGACCATCGGGTTTGGTCAGAAGTAAAGTTAGAAAGGATTACCCTACTGTTCAGTTGACTGCTTGGAAGGTATGGGAAAAGGAACCATCTTTTCCAGTATCATGCAACTCATTAACCGTATGGTTTTGTTAACACTAGAAGTAATTATGGTGTTGAAAACTTGCAGTTTTGGCCTATAGTTGGCTGGATAAACTACCAGTATATGCCCCAGCAGTTTCGAGTTTTGTTTCACAGTTTTGTTGTCTCCTGCTGGTGAGCTCTTGAATCCTTTCTTCTCAACATTTTCCTCTGATATCTCTGGATCATGCATTGACTTTAGAAGTCTAAGATAACGTAATGTGAGTATATGACTAGGCATAAAGCAAATCAAATGTTGGAAAATTTTATAGCAGATATTGCAAGTATACCATCCCTAGGGAAATTTTACTGGTTGGCAGGATCATCTAATTTATGTGAACAAATCGATTAATCTTCATATCTTTCTTTTGTTGGTGGTCTTCAAGTAGTCCTTACAATTTGTATATTTGTCATCTGCTTCGTGTCAAACTCATATAAAATACAAAAATTATTGTGTCACAATTTATGTTAACACATCAAACATGAAACATATTTTTAATTTTTGCCAAACTCATATAGAGTTTTTGTCAAAATTTTAAACCGTTTCTCTTTCATATCTTTTTTCCTATCATTTTCATTTCATATTATGGTGTCTGTGTCTAAAATTATTAAATCTAGCTGAAAGTCATCTTGCTTAAGTTATAATGGTTTACATATATCACTCCATGCTAATGCTTTGCCGTTCTCTCTGCTTGTTAAATCCAGGGCCATCTTCCTCAATCTGAAAGCAAGATCTATTGCAATCAAGGCGGCGTAGTAGAATGTCGGAGACTCGATTTCTCTTACACAACTTACTTATCTATCAGTAAAACTGTCTTGTTTGGGGGAATGCTTAGGATTATTTCCCATTGGTTATGATTGGTTTGCAATATTTTAGTGTTAAGCTTTTCTAAAATGGTTGGATTCTAAAGTAGGTTTGATTATGTGGTTGTTGTAGACTATTTGGTATGGTAATTATAAGATGATACAGTGTTCAGTTTTTGATCTTTTTTTTTTTTTAAACAATTTATTCCATTCTGACCAAAATAGGAACACTTCATTCCAGCAAACTTCCAAGATGCACAGGGCAAATTCCAAGTAAAGTTTTCGTGGTTTTGAGCCACAAGTCATATTATAAATATATATATATATATATATATATATATATATAGCGTTTAGATTCGTGAATCTATCATCAGACATTAATTTAAGAGTCGTCACTATTTTTTGTTTAAGTGCGATTGATTACTTGACTGAATTTATTTAAAAAAAAAAAAATCATAAGTTTAACTTAAGTATTTTTGAAAGGTAGATTCGATGTCTACGAAACCATAACTAGGTTCGAAAGTACGGTTACGTGTGAGGAATGTTATAGCACCTTAACAATGTCCATTGAAAGATGGTACCAGCTCAATTTTGTGTTATCCGATAAACCTTAAAATCTACCGAGTAATTAACTATTAAAAATTATTTTTAATTGATTCTAATACTTTTGACAAAAAATTAAAAAAACTTTCTCACCTCAAGAATATATAAGGAAATTATTGTTTTTACAGTAAAAGCTCCGTCATCGGATTATTTAATACTAAAAAACTTCCAAGAAGAAAAAAGAAAAAGGAATAAGGCTTTAACCTTTTATAGGGATCTCTTTCATTATTTTATTTTTTTTAAATCATGCTTTTATATGAGAAAAATTGATACTTTCAACTTTTTAAGTATTTTTCTTTTGAAACTTTTATTTTTAAGGAAAATTGATACTTTCAACTTTTTTAAAAAATATTTTTAAAAATTTTTATTTTGAACGAAAATTGATACTTTCAACTTTTCCTTAAAATTATTTTTTTGAAATTTTTATTTTCAAGAAAGATTGATACTTTCAACTTTTCCTCAAAATATTTTTTGAAATTTTATTTTTAAAAAAAATCGATACTTTTAACTTTTTGTTAAAAATACTTTTTTTGAAATTTTTACTTTTATTATTTTTGTTCAAATTATTATTTTTAATTATTACTATTGTTCTTAAATCATAAATATGTCCTTGTTTAACAAAACACGATAAGTGACAAAATAAATAAATAAATAAATGTTAAAACTAAAAAATAAAAAATGCAATACTAGAGTTTGGGTTAAGACCCAAATCAACAATCGGTTTGGACTGATTTTTTTTAGGCTTGTTTTGATCACAAGTGGAATCAGGCCTTAGTTGCTTTTCAAGTGGGCTTGGCTTTGGCAGCTACTTGGACTGGGCTTGAAATCGATTGTGAGCCTGCACACACATAGGCAGGCACAGCTCTGCTCTCTTTTAATTCTAAAGGTAGTTTTTTATTGCCGCAAAACCCAGGAACTGATTATTACTGTCCTTTGTTGTCGTGAGCCGCTGCCATTCTTCGTCGATGCCTCTACCTCCTTCGGTCATGACCACTGCTACCTTCCGTCGCCGCTCATTTTTCCTGTTGTATATCTCCCCTATTTTCTCTATGATTTTTACTGTCAATTGCTGTTGCTTCTCTCCTTCTATGGATAGAATTCCACAAAAATCCCTTAACCAAAAGCATGTAATTCCTTTCTATTTGCTGCCTCCATCTGCCTGATTCTTTTTGTTATGGTGTGGCTTATGGGCGGCCATTTGGCGAGCTCATGGTAAAAGTAGGTTCTTTGGAGGTTGTGCTTTAAGAGAGGGTTGATTGGAGGTTTGCTTTAAGAACGGATGGATGCTTCAAAGGCTGTGACTTGAAAGATGGTGGGTTGATTGAAGGTTGCTAATGTTATAAACAACAGTAGGGTATTGGCGTTGATGTGAAGATAGCAATGCTTGAAGTTTCTGTTTATACGGCTTCTTTTGCGTTATTGTCTGTGCAATGGTGACTTTGGTGTACAGTCAGTAAAGGCAGAAAGGTGTCGAAGTGTAGTGGAGTTGTAGTTGTGATAACAATGGTAAAGGAATTAAGAATGCTAATTACTAGTTAGGGTGGAGAAATGGATAAAGATGGTGATCGAATTGCCCCCCTTTTGCTGTGTACGGTTGATGGTTTAAATAGGGTCAGTTTAAGGATTCAAAATCGGAATCTTCCCATCCTCTCATCTGTTTATCCCCTTTTTTTTCCGAAAAACCATCCCAGTTTCAAAATTTAAAATCCTAATCCTATCATCTTACTAAGATTGAAACTCTGTTTTTATTTATCTATTTTTTTATTATTTATTTTGAAAGCTATCGAAAAATGAATATCTACATATATATATATATAAAGAAAAAATTCACTTAAATTAATTTTTTTTTTTTTTGGGATCAAAGTTAAATTAAAATAATATTTTTAATTTTAATCATTTTAATCCAATAATAAAAAAATATATAAAACTTACATTAATGTAAATAGATTTATCATATAATATATATATATATATATATATATAATCTTACTAAACCAGTCTCTCATAACGTTTCCATTGGCAAGTGCTCCACGTATTATATTTTATTCTATCTTTGCCTTTTTAGCTTGTCTATGATGGAGGACAACTGGTCAGGGTAAAGCATATTGAAAAACTTCAATTAAGGTTAAAATTTTAGCATATCTTATCTCTATATTCTTAGTTTACAATTTAAATAAAAATTAAATTCAAAATTTAAATTAATAAATTGAAAGATTTTACTACATAACTCAAGTGTATAAAACTTTTAAAAATTTTAATAAATTTTAATATATTTTTTAGAAAGATTTTTTTGGCCATGATAAATATCTTTATTAAAAACAAAAGTTTTTATCATTGATCAAATTTAAATTTTAAAAGATATTTTTAATAGTTTTTTGAAATATTATTAATTTTTTCATTGAATTTATTAATTTATCAATTTAAATTTTAAACTAAAATATTTATTGAATCAATTTTAATAAAAAATTTTACTAACTTCATTTAAGAAACTCTAAATGTCGCCTACAGCATATTATTGTTATTTCAAGAAAACAATGCTTTATAGGGGTCAACTACAAATTTTTTTTTTTTTAATATTGAAAACAACAATCATGAATTTAGAAATCCTGGAATATAAATAGTAATGTCCTAGGAAAATTTTAATGTTAATGATCAGCTTTACAGGGGACCAAAGGAATCAAATCATGAGGAAAAAAAAAAAAAACCTAAGCCCAGGAAACGGTTTGGCTTAACTGTGTGCTTGACCTCCTCGCCTTGACTGTTGTATTAGTCATTGGTTGGTCTCGTTGTGGGGACTCAGGACTACGAAAAGGAAACATTGAAACATCTCTTCGAGGAAAAGAGCTTATTTTTCTTTTGTTTACTAAAAAAAAGCGAGACTTCAAAGTCTCAACTACGAGATTATGATGACTATATATCCACACCAAATCCCACAACCAAAAATAATTATTTGTTGCACAATTTTTATTCTCATTATTGATATATAAATAAATATAATTATGAATGAAAACTCAAAATCTCTAATTTTTATATGCGCATGCCAATAATCATATAATTTATTAATAAAATATTAAAATTTTAATTTTAATAATCAAAATTTATTTTTAGATAATTTTAAATATCAAAAAAATTTTATGATCGATATACATATATATAATATCCAAGATTTAAACGTTTAATTCGGTTGATTATATAATTATTTTAAAAAATAATATTTAATAAATTTAAAATTCAAACCATAACATCTGTAATTATTTTTTTATTTCTAAATTGTGACTCGATTATTAAAAAAGAAAAAGTTAACCCTTTCAAAGATTGATTAATCAAGCTTCGATATGATCCTGAAAGTTTTCTTAATTGTGGTCCAAGACTTGGGTAGAATTTCAAAAGTTATTTGCTTAATTTACTTGAATCTAACTTAAATATTTTCTTACTTTTACATTACTTTTAATTTGGGGAAAGAAGAAAAAAAAAAGAGAAATTTGAAACTCCATAATATTATTGGAAAGAAGCTGGAAATTAACGACTCCCTACTTGGCAATTTCTTCGAGTGGGGGACCGGAGACAGGAAATTCCTACTAAGAAAATGAAAAAGGAAAGTTCAGCCAACAATCAATGACCAATAATCAATGACCAATCACATATTATATGCATGGTGTATTATGCGAAACGACACCATGTGAGTTGGTAGGAAACTTTGCTCTTGAACCTTTTTTTTTTTTTTCTTTTCACACCATTTTTTTTTTTTAGCAAGCAATGGGTTTCATGCAAACTTGAAAAGGCATGCAGTTCCTTTAAAGGAAAGTTTGATCAGTAGCTAAACCTTAATTATTATTGATGAAACTTTATGTGTATTTAGTTGGTTTAGGTAAGAAGAAATTGAATCTTTAGAATCACTCTTGCCTAAATATTTCAAATTAAGAAACTATCAAAATTCATTTCAATTAATTATTATTATTATTATTATTATTATTATTATTATTATTATTATTATAGAGTAATATTGAAGAACATCATGTCATCATTCATTGTAAATTTTGAAATATAAAAAGGCACTTTCAACAAGAAAAAAATATAAATATATAATTAACACATTGTTAATGAAAATTTTAAATTACATAAAATATTAAGTTAAAGAGTTGTCACATATCTTATTATAATCATAAAAAAATAATAATAATAAAATATACTATAATATTTTAAATTTGGTTGTGAAATTTAAAATTTAGCAATGATGTATAAAATAATAGTCATATATATATATATATATATAATATTATTACCCTTTCCATAAATAATCTGTTTTTCCCAAGAGTGACATAAACAACATCATAAAAATCCAAATTTTGGCTTGGTGGTATTAGGTGTCGTTACATTTATAATCTTGATCTTGTCAAATACTTCCCTTCTAAATAAAGAAAGACCAAAAACATTTAAAAAAAAAAAACATTCTTTATGGTATATTATCCATCGCTAAGATTTACGATTTCACTCCAATACTCAATTAAACATTTAGGAGGGGAAAAAAAACCAATGACTACAAGCTATATACTTAGAATAAATAAAGAAAATAATTTTCAGATACCTAGCAAACATTTCCTTCTAAAGCAAGCACGGCGCACGTGAACAAGTTATTTAGATGATATTTAATGCATAAAATAATGAATAAAATATAATATTAATTATTCTGTATTATGTTTTATTTGTATATAAAAAAATAAGATTACAAAAAAAATTAAATCATCTTATATTAAAAAGATAATTTACATCGAGAAGATTATTTTTAATTCATAAAATTAAATTTATATGTATTATTATGCTCTTAAAAATCATATCAATAATTTAAATTATATAAACTTTAAAAAATGATAATTTTGATCAATAAATAAATTATTTTATCTTAATTTTTGTATACATCAAATATAAAATAAAATAATATTATTTAATTTAATTATATTTATAATATTATTTCATTTTATTTTATCATAATCTTGTATATCAAATATATTCTTAAAGTTCATGCAAAATTTATGTTCCATAAAACTAAGTTCGATAAAATTAAAAATAACGATGATGGAGAGAGTGAATACTCAATCAATAATGGTGTGGATATGTCAATCGCAAAAATAACAGTAAAATTGGACATAGAGACTGTTCGATTAAAGGTAATCCAATACCATCTCTAAAAACAAGACAGTTGAATACTCTAACAAAGACAAACAATTGCTATAATTAAAAAAATATAATCGAATGCGTTAAAGTTAGGAAGTTGCATGCCCTAATGCTCAATAAATCACTTAACCCTTCTTCTCTAATCTTCAACAGGAGGGACAGTGACTTCAACTGTATAGAGAAATTCTATCCAAATGCACTCACAATGTAGTTAATCCAGTGTGACAAAATCCAAACATACCCTTAATAATAACCATAAAAAGACATATATAGTCAAATATGTTACATTAAAAAAAAAAAAAAAGACAAAACAACATCAAGATCGAATTAAAAAAGATTTATCAAAAGAAACCAAACATAAATTAACAAGCATTACCATAAGATATAAAAAAAAAAAAAAGTTAAATATTATTGGTTCCTCTCTCTTGTGATTTTGTCTTCAATAACTTCGATGATGAGTCTGGGACTTAGTGACTTACCACCGGGAGAGACTGAGGGATAATCAGACGCAAGAAAGGGTAAATATCAATTACGTCGATGCGAATTTTCAACCAGTTATAAATTGCCACGTCATCCCCGAATTTTGGATTTTTTTCACATCTGGATCCACCTCGCCAGTTGAGTAGGATTAACAATTCCCGGAATGTGGGCCCCTTCGTCCTTCAAAATTATTGCCACCTCAGCATAGCTTTGGCTCTCTTTCTTAAGATTCGGTTCTGTTTCCTGCTTAACGGGCTTTCTCGGGTCAGCCAATGAGCCGACTATTGGCATCGCCTCTGCTCGAGCCGGATCGAATTTTTGACCAAACAACGTTCCCCTCGTCAAGAACTCATGCGCCATGTAGCCAGCTAAGAGCCGGTTCGAACAATTAGTCGAAGGCTGAGTTTTTGGACTGGTATAAACCGAGGATTGAACCGGAATGGACGGTTCAAAGGAATAAAAAGCTTCTCTTTCTTTACGCTTTCTTGAGATTCCAGGTGTCAAAATCCTGCGCTGGTGATGGCTCATTTTTTAAAAAAATAATAAAAAGAAAAAGGCCTCAAATTATGCCACGTAAGAAGAGGTTAAAACCGTTAACTCGTCGTTCAGTAAGGGGCAAAAACGTCAAATGAGAAATTTTATGTTTTTCTCTAACTTCCCGTTTGGGTAAAAGTGTCAAATCATCTTTATCGGGAAGTGAGCGAAAACGTCCAAATGAGTTAAATGACTCAAATGCCCGTTGGGTTGGAAAAAATCACAAAAAGTCCCAACTTAAAACGAGTTACTAATGAAACGAAAGTCAGGAATAATCATTTTCAAAACAAAACCCATAAAAGAAAAATAGTTTATTAAATTATTTTAAAATAAAAAAGAAAAAATTAAAATAGAAACTAGAGATGAAAATCAAGGGTGGCAGAAAACCCAAAGGAACAGTTTGGGATCTGGATGTACGGACAGATGTTAGAGCGGTGGAGCGGCCGGTGGATGGCCGATCAAAGAAGTGAAACAAAAAAGGTGAGACACAACAAACAGCAAAATCAGGCCCAGAGAAAGGAAATAGAAAGAGCGAAAAACAAGAGAAATAGTAAAGCAGAGAGTGCTGCAAAAAAATATATATGATGGGGGCGTTTAAAACTGACCTTTGTTTTTGAGAAAATACAGAGAATGCCATTATCGATTTTTGGAATGACGAAAATATCCTTTTCCAGTGTTTATCTGTCTTTCAGATAAGTGTATGAAATTCCGGTTATGGCCCTTGGTTTTAGTAGCAACAGGTTATTAATGATGAGACAGTCTTCCTTTCCACTGAGTGTTTTACTGTCCTTTTCTTTTTCCATTTTTTAGCTGGCTTTTCAAGCTGTAAATTAGTTGGTGAGAGGATAAATCAAAGCATTTTTGGCATGTTCATTCCAAATATTGCATGAACTTTGAATTTCATTTAAAAAAGATCAACATTTCTTTATAGAGGTTTAGTGAAGACCTTAAAAAAAGTTTTTTCACTGTATGGGAAAGCAAATTAAAATTTGAAATACCACACAATAAATTGTAATTTTTTGTAAAATTTAATTTAATAAGTTGTTGAGTCTTTAGAATTAAAACAAGATGTGTTATATCATACAAGGGTTGAGTTGAGGTGAGAAAAAATTAAAAAAATTATAAATTAATTAAAATCGTAGTGTTTAATTTAATTTGAATTAATTTTTTATTTATTTTGAATTAAATTTAAATATTAAATATATATTAGGTTCGGATCGATTTTGGATCAAAAAAATTTTTTTTTTAAATTAAATCAAATCAAATTATATTTTTATTAGTTTTATTTTTTTAATTTTTATAAAATAAAAATAATTATTTTATACTTAAATTTACTTAAATATATTAAAAATTATATTAAAATAATATATATAATTTAAAATTTAAAAATTAATAAACCGAACCAAACTAATAAAATTTAGTTTAGATTGGATTATATGAAAGTTTAGTTTGAATTCAAATCGAATTTTAAAAATTAATAATTCTATACATTATCCAAAAAATCAAAGCGAACCCAATTTGAACTATTATAACCCTTAAGGCTGAGCATTCAAGATTAAATTGAAACAAACCAATTTATCAATAAATAATCATCGAATAAATTCAAACCTAAATCTACTTAGGCAAAAGGGTAAAAAAAATCATCAAACAAAAATTTAATAATTATTTAAGTCTATGATATTTTATTACAATCAATCAATCTCTAAATTTTTTATTTCAAATCAATTGAACTCATAAAATCTATTTTCAACCAATTTAACCCTTAGACATTTATTTTCATCTAATGAAACCCTCGATTTGATAGAGACAATTAATTATTTTTCCTCTAACAAAGGCTCAATAGATGAAAATATATGTTTTTAGGTTTAATTGATTTCAAAAAAATATAAAAAGCTAGGATGATTACTAAATTTTAGTTCAAGAGTTTTTTTTTTTTTTTTTTGACTCTTTTGCCATCTCCTTACATTAAGACAAACCAATTTATCAATTAAACCAAGCCCTTGTTAGGCCTAGTTTAGTATTGCTATTGTGGCTAGAAAAAAAACTTGATTTGAAAAATATGCATTTGAAAAGTGTTGTAAAAAATTGTTGCCAATAGTTGTGGTGAAAATTAAAATGTCTAAAGAGGAAATGGCATTGGAAAGAGACAAGATGTTATTTTTGTCAAAAATAAATAATGGAGTAAGTATTTGTTAGATTTATATCCAAAACATAAATTTTGAATTGCAACTGCACCTCCAATTAACTTATTGGCTCATTTTCAATGATAAAAAATTGCTTATAACTCAAACTATAATGTGTTTAGCATTGCTTTTGCGTTCAAAAGTTGCTTTTTAGAATCCAAATGCAATGCTAAATGAGACTTTACTCTATAAATCTATGTTGAGGCAAATAAAATTACTATTGTTTACATTAGAGATGTTTACGGATCAATTAGACCAAACCAAATTGGTTGACTCTTTGAAAACTTTGTCTAAGGTTCAACCAACTTGGCTTGTATAGATCTCGAATAGATTTGACATTATTAAAAACTATTAAATATATTGGGCTAGGACTTGACTGGTTGCTAGACTATGGAAAGTTTTGTTAGAAAATATTTTCAAAATGTGAAAATATGATTAAGTAATAACTTAATCAAAGAAAAATCGAAGTTAAGTTCATAAATTAACTTAAGGTAAGGTTTCTAAGGTGAATAATATGATTCTAGACTTAAACGGATCATAATTAATGGACTATATATGTAAGGAGTCGATTGTCTTAGACTTCTAGGAAGAGCAGTCGATTGCCAAGGGCATGGAGTTGACTACTTTGTCAAAAAGAAGCTAAACTTAGATTTTGTATAAGTAGCAATCGACTATCAACCTAAAGCAACTAACAACTATGTCAGGAAAGAGTGTGGAATTAATTCCAAACCCTTGTGGAATTGATCATTATTGGATGATAATCTTTTTAGTTTAATATATGCTATAAGCAATCGATTGCCCTATAGAAGATCGAATTTGGAAACTTTTTTGGTATTGAAAAGAGTCGACAATTATATGAAACAATCAATTGCTCACGCATTGAATGCATTCTAAATGAAGCGAAGAGTTGATTGCTTTATGAATGAGTCAACTACTTTAGTTCTAAAAGCATTTTGGAAATTGAAAATACAAAGAGGCAGTGGATTGTCTTCTTAGGGTAATCGATTACTTTGTATGAAAAATTATAATTTTCAAAAAAGTGAAAAATAGTTTCTCTTTGTATGAAAAGATTGATTATTCCAATGAACAAATATGTTTGAAATTTTTCAAAGAAATAAAATTATACTAAAAAAAAGTGATTTTTGATTGAAACAACATAATCAAATAATCATTACATTAGGATTCAATCTCTATAAATAGAGATTGATCTAAGTTCATTTAAAACATCTAATTCAATTCTGAATTACTTAATTCTTTCTCCTATTTCTTTCTCACTTAAAGGTAAGTTGCTTAAGTATTATTTGTTGTAAAAAACCTTGCAAAGACAAGATATTTTTGTTCCTACTAAGATGTGTTTAATGGCTTGTTATATTAGTATAAAGTATAAATAAACAAGATTTCATTGTATCTTGGAAGAGTTGCTTTCACCTGTTTGCATACTATAACTAGTTAAGGCAAAATAATTTTTTATTCCCTTCCTTGACAATACCAAAGGAACGTTCGATTTATGCTAATTATCAATTTTTTTTTATTAAAAACTACTAATTCTTATATATCTTTTTCGAATCGCATAGGACAACCGAGTTTCCTGGCTTTTTGCATGTAATTAGTATGGACAAAAAATTATTAGGTCTGATTTGATTTATTTACAGTTAAATTTTATCAAATTTGATAGTTGATATTTTAAATATTTTATTAAATTATTTTTATTAAATTATATTTAAAATTTCTTCATTCAAGATTTAAAAATATATATTTTTTCATATATTTTAATAAGCCATGTATTTAAAATAAAATGAAGTGAAAATTGAAATTTTTTTTTATCTTAAAAGTCAAATTATGACATTATTTATGATGCGGAAGGAGAATGAATTTAAATCAAAATTACTAAATTTAAAAATATTATTTTGATTAAAATAAATAATGAATTTAATTTTGATAAAAAAATCCAAAACAAATAAGAATTAAATTAGTCTAAGTGTAAGATTCATATTTTAACAAAGCGGTGGTTGCATTTAACAATATAATTTTAATCATTGTATAAATAAAGTTTTTAAATTTTGATATATCATTATATATTTCGAGAATATTGTTTCTTTAAATTAACAATTGAAAATTTTTTATATTAAAAAAATAGTTAGACATTTTTAATTAATTTGAAATTTCACATGCATAATTTATATGAATAAAGCATGAAAGATAATAATCGGCTTAAACAAATATAAACCATTAAGAATTTATGAAAATGTGTAATTTGAGTTTTATAGTGATATAATTAGCGGATCCCTTCTTCCTAATGTATTATGAAATTATATTTTGTAAGTAAAAATTATAATCATAACTAAATAATCTTGAACATATAAATGTATATAAATGTAAGTACCATTATATCTAATTAAAAAAAATTAATAAACGAACGAACAAATTAATATAAATTTAGATCAAATTCACATATTATAAGTTCCGAAGAGCTTAATTAAAGTTTCAAATGTAGTCATTACCATGGAAATAGTCTCATCGAGCAGCTATATAAAACATATGAACGTCTCTTAGCGTGTCCATTTGTGTTTTTAAACATTTAAAATTTTTATTTTTTATATTTTAAAATTATATTTTATGATTTTTTACTTTTTAACATTAAAAATCATGAAACTTTAATTATATAAAAATTTTTTAATTTTAATATTAATTATATTAAAATTAATTTTTTTAATTTTATAAAAATTAATACAAAATAAATAAATTGAGACCAAAAGAATACTAAAATATAACAGATGAATTTGTAAAAGAGGAAGAAGAAAAGCGAGGAGAAAATAGTCATTGCAAAGAGCGAAGGGACAGAGATAGGTGCGTGTGTGGAGACGAAGAAAAAGGGTATATTAGAGAGAATACTGGGACGGTTCTGGGTGACTGACTAACGCATCAAATCACTATTACCCGGTTTTTTCGACTCCTTTTCATCTTACATGTGTCAAAATATCAACCCTTCATCTCTTCACCAACTGGCGTGATTCTACGTGTTAACTTTTTTTCCGCCATCACAGGGTTTCTCCTTTTCAGTACGATTCTCTTGGTAGCAATACCAACAATTAGCCAATGACGACTTGCCATGTGGTTATGAAATATTATAAATTAAAAAAAACACCATATTTATATTTTTGTGTTATTTTTAAATGTTGTATAAATAAATACGAAAAAAGTTGCGCCATCAATTTTTTTTATAATATGATCAAATATTTCAAGGGATGGCCGATTTTAAAGGAATTTACACATATAATTTTTTTTAATGAATTAAATAAATAAAAGTTTGAGTAAAAAATTAGATAAAAGTTTGAGCTTAAGGAATGTTACAAATTTCAAAAAGTTATAAACTCATGGACAAGACCAAGCTGAATAGATTTTCTCATTCATACCGGTCCATTTTTTATTTATTTGGATTTATATCCTGAATAATATCTAAATTATGATAAAAATTTAAGACAGTGTCTGATTTTTAAAAATTTTATATTTAAATTATAA